TGGGTACATGACCTCATTTAAAATATTTTCTTCAAGTTTAGTCTCTGTTAATGCAACAATATCTGGGACTTTGAGCTTGATTATATCTTTCAACTCCAATATTTTCGATCTCACTCCATCTGTTGGTATATACTATTTTCAGGAATGTATTCCCCTTCCCTTTGTTCTTTACACCCCCTTCCTTTAATGATTTTGTTGCTTTATAAATATAGAAAAAAAGAGTTTAGCTCTCCACATATCTGCACCACCATGTGGGTCCCCATTTTCCCAGTCTATCTTTCCATGGTTGAAATTGCCCATGATTAAGAGTCTTGAGCCATTCCTGCAGGCAACTGAAGCTGCTGCTGCTCTATTATATTAATGGTTGCCATGTTGTTCCTATCAAACTCCTGTCTAGGTCTTCTATCATTTAGGGGAGGGTTGTAAATGAATGCCACTATTATTTTGTAACACGGGGGGGGGGGGTGTTCTCGAATGATCCTTCCTCCTTTTTCCCCCTCTACCCGTATTCTTACTTTTTATTCTCTACCAAGGGACTCCAAAACTTTTACTAAAGCCGACTCCACGCCACGTGGTCCTAAGACGATTGACCGACTTAGGATTCTACAACCCGTATGACGTGACAGGCTTTGAGCAAAACCCTAGAGTCGCCTCCGCCACCACCACCAGACCAGTAACACTGAGCAATGATTGAGGTCTGGATCGATCATGCTAATTAATCAACCTTGGGGCTTGATCCCCACTAGTAGCTTATAACCTCGGATCTTAAGTGTGGAATTAATTCACAATCAACGGTAAAGATGACTTCCGATTTGGTGTTAGAATCGGCGCCCCATTCAACTCTGCCTCGTAGGGACCACGTGACCAGGACAAATCCACATAAATATAACACACACATGGAAATAATAAAAATGCAAATTTACTAGCTAATTAATTTATTAAAAGAAAAACTAAAACAAAATCTAAAGATGAGCATTCCCTATCAATCTACCACTCCCTACTTGGCAATGAATTGATTATCCCTATAAATAACAATAGCAACTATACCTCTATGTTGACCAGCTTGGGTGGAGTGCTGGTCTTGGGGGGGTGGGGGGGGGGAGAGGTGAGATGGTTGACCTCCCCCAGTTGATCTCGAGCCCACACTAATCTCTCCTCGTCTGGTCTTCCCCAGACTAGAGCATTGTATCCTTCCGCATAGTCTAAGTTTTACCAAGTTACTAGCCAGGCTTAAGTTTAACAATTAACCTCTGTTGCACTGAATTGATCCAGATTGGTTGAAATATTTTACTGAAGTTAAATTACACAAGCCTCTTAAGGCTATTCCCAAATCTAAAATGGCTATTTAACCTTTGAGAAATTACTGAATGTGGGAACTCTTGTGACCTGTGACCGCCAGGTCACTCAAATTCTTCCGTGCCGAGGTCTAGTCATGGATAGTGACGTCACTGATGGTGACTTAAACTCTTTCTCCTAATAATTAGAATACTCTTGATATTATAACCAGGAATATTATACAATACAATTTGAATGCAAAATGAATAAAGGCTAATTTCTCTAAATAAGTGAATACTATAGGATGATTCATTATACGAAACTATGAAAAAGGCGTCAATTATTTTCACCGCGAATTCCCTGGGGTCAGGTCCCGGGTCACCACGCGGGTCCAGCTTCCCATTCTCCCTTGTAGATAAAACATTCTGGATAATTCTTACAACCAGCCTAGTTTGTTACAATCTTAGGTCCACCCATTGTTATAGTTCCTGTTATGTAATCTCTGAATCCGTCACAGCCCGGAATTTCTATCTCGTCAAAACTCTGTCCTTCCTTATCAGCAGGGCCTCTCCTCTGCCTATATGTGTGTGTGTGTATATAACATAAATATATATAAATATACATAAAATATTGTAATAAATTTTAAGTATTCATATATTGTCTTTATATTGTAAGTTGTTTCACAATCAGAAGAAATTGATGCTCTGTTCATAGGAGATTAATATACAGTATGCATATATACATAAGCTACAAACAGAAATGGCAGTATTAGGAAAATGTTAGTAGTTTATTGAAGTGTAATGCTAAAGTAAGAGTGTTAATCTTGTGGCATCCCATCTTATATTCATCATATTGCTTTTGAAGCTTTCAATGGTGCTAACACACATTCATCACCTTGTTGGGAATTTTGATCAACTCATTTCAGTCTTCTCTTTTTCCTTGTGTCTTCCTATGGCTCAGGCAGTGTAAAAGATAAAGGATTTTCCCTCATCAACTAGTGTTTGATTCATTTTACAATCTACTTGATCCTTGTGGTCTCTTAAACTAGCAATTTAATAACCTCCTTCACCCGAGAGCCTTTAGCAGCCTGTGTGAAAGTTTTTATTTGCCATGTTCTTCACTAATGTCACAATCTGTTTGCCTGACAATTTCACTTTTGTTGCTGTTTTTTTTTAGCTATCTTCTCTTCATTTACACTACCTAGAAATTTAAATTTATATCATGCACATTCTTCTCTGCTTTTTTTTTATCTGCATTGCTGTATTGTATTTATCATGACTGATATTACATTTTCATATCCTCTATGACCTTCAGCTCCGCAGTCTTGTGACACTTAGTATTTTGTCCATACAGTAGTCTCCTGTGCTGTCACCCTTCCTATCTCCACCTCTTTTGCTCTCTATTCTCCACTCTAATGTTTTTGCTTGTCTTCAATGTTTTTATTGTTATTTTTCTGCTGCTCCTTTCTGAGACATCTGTTGACATTAACAAATCCCCATGTAACTGGACTTATGACTTTGGGACAATACTTGTCCAGAGTGCGCATTGGTGCTCATCTCTCTTGTATACCTTCTCTCGTTTCACTTTTATTAACCTTGGGTTTGTTGCTTGTATTTTTTCCCTTATCTTCCCCAGTAAGCTCTTCCTTGAACATGAAGATCTTACATACTCTTCCAATTTTTCACCAGATGCTATGGTGAACTATAGCAGAATATTTGTTAGAGACACTGAACATCACCACCTCCAGTGAAGACTTGACTGGTAAATAGTGCTCTCCTCCGGTAGCTAGTGTCTTCTTCCTATTGCTCAGGATGTCTTCCTGTCACCAACACAAGGGGGCTTTGCTTGCAGTTGCCAAGTGGTGGTGGTTTTTCACTAGTTAAAATAAGGGTATGTAATAAAGTGTTTCATATGCAAAGTGTAGCAAATAGGGAAGTGAAAAAAAAAGATATCTCCTTCATTTTCCCCTTAGCTGTTAATACAGTGGAACCTCTATTAACGAGTGGCTCTATTAACGAGTTTTTCCAGTAACGAGCAAGCCACTCTCAGCAAATTTGTCTCTATTGACGAGCTCGCCTCTATTAACGAGTGAAACCACATGGCGCTTCCTAGTGTTTCGCGGGTTCTCGCAAATTCTCGGACGCCTCCGACGCCAGTGTTGTTGTTGTATCTCACACGACAAGCATCCCTCTGGATTTATTTGAGCTTTTCTTTGAGTTTTTAGTGGTTTTGCGACTACAATTTGTAACACACGATGTCTCCAAAGAAGCTGCTTGCTAAGGATAGTGTTGTCAAGAGGAAGAAAGACACAATTACTGTGGATTTAAAGAAGGAAATTATAGCAAAGCATGAGTGTGGTGTCTGTGTGATTGATCTCACAAGGAAGTATGGCAGGTCCTCATCAACAATTTACACCATTAGTAAGGGAATGAGGAGGTAAGGGAGGGTGCTGCCTCTTCCACTGAAATCAGGGAAGTGTTTGGAATGTTTGAAAAGGTGAACTCATTCGTGGAAAAGCTGCCCTGATAAAGCAGTGACAACCAGGTTGTGAAAATGTTTAATTAATTTATCACTTTGTGATAACACTTTATGAAAGTGTTATCACTTTCGCAGGTATATGTCACTTGAACGTGACACACTTTTTTTCTCTTGAATGCACCCAAACACCGCGCTCAAGCGTCATTTGAGCAAATATTTCTATAAAATCCAATTCTTATCCGATCGACTTGGGAATTGTATACATGTTTGCCATGAAATTTCCGTTTTCTTTAATAACTACATTGCCTATTTGAGAAAACGGCATTGTATTGTATCTTCGTGGTAAGACTATTATATTGTTGACACAACGAGTGTAATCAACGTAGTTTTTTATTTGGTGCTGGTCTAACGCATCCTTGTGTGACATTTGAAAAGAAATTTGGGTGAAATTCCCAAGAAGAGAGAGTCCGCCTGACTCAGAGGTGAATTCCCCTTCCACACCATAACCCCTCTCCTCCTTCCCACCTCTCCATCGTCTCCCTCAAGCCAGCAACTACTCTTCATAAGGTAAAGTAAATATTAAAACACTACAACAAAACATTTATATTTACATGTGCAATATTATATTTACATAAAAAAAAGTCATACAAGTATGGATGTTTTTGGGAGTGGAACGGATTAAATTTATTTCCTTTATTTTAAATGGGGAAATTTGTTTCCAAAGACGAGTTTTCCAGGTAACGAGCTCGGTGCCAGAACGGATTAAACTCGTTAATAGAGGTTCCACTGTATTTAGATAATTTTATCCTCCCCTAGATAAGAAAAGGTTTATGGGGTATAAAAGGTTTATGGAATGTTTATGGGATACTTAATAAGAGTGAAAGTTGTTAATCCATAGGTGGAATTCTGTGATAGTGTACTAAGAAAATCTTGTTTAAAGGAGTCTCAAACCCCCAACAAGATGATGGTTTAGATGCTTGTTGGTCGCACGCATGTTGCCCAAAGTAATTATGGTACTTTTCGTTTGGGAATTTTGTTTTACAGTGCTGTATTTAAATGAATTGTGCTTCTGGTTAGTGTCTTTACACACCTTCACTCAAATTGCTTCATATACTATATGATATAAATGTTAGAGAATTGCTGTCAGATAAATTCTTTGTTGACAGTTTTGGGAGCCTTTTGTAAGAGGCTCCAAGGTTGGTAGCATTTTCTTAAATACGTAATTAATTTTTGTTTTTTCTTTGAAGGTCGGTCTTGGGTGTGCCTGTGTTTAAATGACGGTCAGCTAGAAAGTTACTTGCATGTATTAACCAGCCATAGAGCTATGCTGGAGGCTCATTATGGATCCCAAGCACTACTACGAGACCCTCACCGGGCACACCTCCTCCTCATGCTGGCTGCTGGGCTCGAGCACCTTAGGTTTGCTATTCCAATGGTAAGCATCCTTGTGGAAGTTACTCATGTATCATAAACCATCTAATTTTTTCTTAACACTATCGGTGACCTAGTGGGCGACCCGCTGTGAACTCGCCACCACCCCCAAATGTTTATACTCTTCAGCTTTCTGACCTCAATTTTCATGCTACGTCATTCAATTTGGTATCACAATATTATTATATTAGCAACATTATTAGGATAATAAGAGCTATAAAAATACTTATTTTAGAAATGATTTATTAATTTTATTATTTTGAGGCCGTAGGCCACTGTACTGTAGACAAATTCAATTGAAAAGCACATGCTGTGTGTCCAGGGAATAGACCAGTCAACCCATGCACAAGTTGTTTTGAAAGCTAGAGCCAAATGCATAAATAGTTTCTCAAATAGCAGATGTCCATCATATTACAGTATAGTTTCTGGGGGGAGCCCCGTTGGCTCCCCGGAGCTATCCAGGCTGGATGGATATGTATACTGTATCTGTCTGGCATCAGTCAGTGCATGGAGTTCTGCCTACTGGGGACCACGAGCCAGGACCAGGGGCCAGATTCACGAAAGCACTTGTGCAAGCACTTACGAACCTGTACATCTTTTCTCAATCTTTGGCGGCTTTGTTTCTAATTATTAAACAGTTAATGAGCTCCGAAGCACCAGGAGGCTGTTTATAACAATAACAACAGGTGAATGGGAAGTTTTCATGATTGTAAACTGTTTATTAAATGTAACCAAAGCTGTCAAAGATTGAGGAAAGATGTACACGTACGTAAGTACTTGCGTAAGTGCTTTCGTAAATCTAGCCCCTGGCCCCCTCTAAAGAGGCACGAGGAGCAATACCCTATAGAGACCCCCCCCCCCTGTGGTTGGGAGCATTCTATGTCTGCCATCGACTGGGACAGGCACCCAGAAAGGTAGGCTCTCCAAAACAAACCCCTATTCTGGTAAAATTATTGCGACCGAAAGCCGAACAGGTAGACAGATCTCCCCAAATGAAAATTAGCAAACTAGCATGACTTCATCATGTCGCCATGCCGCTGTCTGTGCAACCCAAACCCCGATCCCGTCCCTGGGAGGGGGAAGGGGGAGCCCCAGACCCATCCGTCTGTGACCTAACCTCCCAGTTCTTGGCTGATGGAAGTCTGGTGCGGTCCTGCCACTGGCTCCAGTTTTTCGTTGCAGCTCTGTGCCTTGTGGTGTGGGCTGACCCTTCAGGTGGTGCGTGAGCGGGGAGTGATATTCCATGGTACTCGGGCTGCATGCGCCTAGGGTCTCTTTCCCTAAGTGCCCTGTAAGTACTGCCCTTGGGGCCACCTTCCACAAGTCACCTTGGGATCTACCTCTGCTGTGCTATTTACTGCTCGGTATTTGGCCGCCCTTGGGGTCAGCTGGGGTTTTTTTCTTAGCCATGTTTGTCTCTGGGTATGGGGTAGTTTTCATCACTGGCAGGGGCGCAGGGTACTGCACAGGTAGTTTTCACCATTAACAGCGGCCGGCTCTGTTCTGCCTAGGTATGCTATTCTCTTGCGGAGTTTTTCTTTTGTGTTTGTTTTCTGCCTGGTGGGGGTCTGCCGTTCTGGTCCCCCATCATTCTTCTTGGGGTGTCTTTATCTCTCCCTTTGTGTGGGTGGTCCTCCCCACTTGGCCTCCGTGAGTGGACACGTCCCGGGGGTTCAGCTTTAGGAGTTTTGTTGGTAGACTTGGGCGCCGGTCCGCAGTACCCTGCCTGGGCTTCCCTTAGCGTGTTATCAAGGCTAAGGGTTCTGGAAAACCCCATGGGGGGCTACGTGGTCTGATAGATGTGACCCCTGAGTCCCCTCTCGCATCTTGCGAGTTTGAAGATCGCTCTGTCCCCTTGTCTCAGGGTGACAATCACCGGTTTTGCCTTTGCCATGCTGCCTGTTGGGTCGGTGATTGTTTTGACCCGGAGTCATGCGACGTATGTTGTCTCTTCATATTCCAGTTCACCCAAGCTCCTGATAATGATATGCGGGTGCAGGCAGCTAAGGCGTTGCATGCTAGATTTAAGTTGCTGCAACGCGCTCGGTTGGTTACGGCCCCGGATGCCCCGAGACTGCCCCGTTTTGGTTATAGGGACTCGGGACTTTGGGGTGGGAGTCGCTTCAGCTCTGGTTCTCTCCGCCTCTCCTAGTCCTTCCCCGTCTGTAGTTCATTCGGTCTCCCCCCCCTTGCTTCCGGCTCCGAAGCGTCTTGAGGGTTTCGAAGTCGGGGCAGGGTCTAGTTGGTGTTGAGACTCGGGCGGTCTCGGAGGTGTTCCCTTTTGGGGTTGTGGCGGAGACATTCAAGCCTGGTCCTTCTGCCGGAGCTTCTGGGTCTGGCCATTGGGCCCCCTTCGTTCCTACTTTTTTGGCAACTCCTGCTTTTTCTTTGGAGGTGGGGGGTTTGGAGGCTGGCTCGGCCCTGGGTCCTCAGGGTGAGGTTCCCGGGGTTGGGGTGGGGTTAGCTTAGGGGCCTTGGGTCCCATTGGACCCTTCCTGGGTTTTTCTGCCTGCCGAGCGGGGCTTGGAGTTACAAGGAGAAGGGTTCTCTTTAGCTCCCTCTGTGTACGAGTTGGATTTGGTGTCTACCCCTCCCCGGGTTCTGTTCCGTAATCCTGCGGTTCTTCGGTTCTGTCTTTCCGGAGGTTTCTGGCTTCCCGCGTCTCGTCTTCCGAGGTGCGGGAAGCCTTGGCAGCTTACCTCCTGCGCGACCTGGATTATGCTTTCGTGATGGATCCGCGTTTCTTCGTGTATGGCTCTTCTAGTTCGGAACTTCATAACGAATCCAGTACAGAGTCGTCCTGGTTGGCAGACTGTCCTCTTTTCTTGTTGGAGGCTTGGCACATGTTCTGTCGGTCCTGCGCGCTTGAGTGGCGAGAGAGACTGTTGGCGTTTCAGGTTTTCCTGGGGGGCGACTTGGAACATCTCAATGCTTGTTTGTTCGCCACTGCCCTTCCGCGGGATGTTGGTGTCATGCAGCTTCATGTGCTGGTTCTTTGTGGAGGATTTGCATACTCGTGGCCTGCATGCTTTGGCCCTGTGTTTCTTCTCTCTGAGCTGTCCTCAGACTGGCTAAAGTTGGATGTGGGGGACGCTCGGGGCTGCTGCCGGATCCGATGCGCTGCCTTCCGCGGTGCAGGCGTCGTCTGCTTTGTTGAAGCTCTTCGCGCCACTCTTGCATGATGCGGTTTTGTGGTTCTGTGCTTCTCGCCTCGCGTGTCGGCAGGCGGTGCTGGCTTCTTCCTTGGATTCCTCTTGGGCTCAGGCTCTTTGGTTGTCTTTGCCTTTTTGTCTGTTGCCGTTTGCTGACTCTGCTGTGATGCAGTACTGTACCTGCAGGCGGCCTCGGTTAGTTGTCAGCCTATGTCTGAGTTGTTGTTGTCCCGAGGGGTTCGTGGGGGGCCTTCCCGGAGGGGTCGTGCCAGGGCTCGAGGGGTCTTTTCGTCGGGGTAGGTCATTGGTGCCAGATTCGGGGCAGGCGCAGCCTCCGGTTCCAGCTGTTTCTGGTCGCCCTCTTCACCGCTTGGGTTCTCACAAGACGCTTCGGCCGTTTTGCAGTTCGTCCCATTGACGGGGCGATGGGGGGGGGGTGCCCTCGCCCTTGTAAGCTTGTGCCTGGTCCCACAATTCGTGGGCTTTTCGGATCATTTCGTGCGGCCTGTGGTGGTGTTGGGTGGCTTCTCCTCCCTTGGGGGGTTCGGGGCTGGCAGGGCAGGCCTCTTCTCCTGCGCTGTCGGGTCTTCTCAGAGTAATTACCTAAGTGTAGTTACAGGATGAGAGCTACTGTACGCTCGTGGTGTCCCGTCTTCCCAGCACTCTGTCATATAACGCTTTGAAACTACTGACGGTTTTGACCTCCACCACCTTCTCACCTTCTCGCGTGGGTTCGCCTGGGTGTGGTTGAAACGACGGTGTCCCTTAGGTGGGTTTTCCCTCTGTTTCCGGTCCCAAAATGTGTCGGTGCAGACCTCCGGTTCATTCTGGACATGTCCCGTCTGAACCCGTGGGTTTCTTGCCCCTCCTTCAGGATGACTACTCTATCCCAGGTCCGTCTTCTGTTGGAGCCAGGCGCTTAGATGGTGTGCCTGGGCCTCAAGGACGCGTATTGGTACGTCCCGGTTCACCCAAGGTTCAGGGACTGGCTCGGTTTTGTCGTGGGGAATCGACAAAACGTGCCGCTTTCCTTGTCTTCCCTTCCCTTCCCTTCGGGTTGAATCTGGCGCCTCGCGTTTTCATGCGTCTTACTCGGGTCGTGGTGTCCCGCCTGCATCTGTTAGGTGTTCGGGTTCTGGCCTACCTCGATGACTGGCTAGTTTGGGCTCCCAGCCAGTCCGCGTGTCTGTTCACCAGGGATTTAGTTCTTTCCCAGCTCGCTGGGTTCGGGTTCTTGGTGAACTGGAGGAAGTCCCATCTGGTTCCCTCTCAGGTTCGGTCTTAGCTTGGTCTGGTTTGGGACACTCGCACCACTTCCTTGTCTCTGCCTCCGGCGGCTCTGCTTCGCCTGTGGTCCCACCTTTGCCTGTTTCTGAGGGATTCCCGGGTCACGCAGCGGTTGCTCGAGAGTGTGTGCAGGATCCTGAACTGTGCCATGATGGTCTACCCGCCGGGTCGGGTGTGGCTTCGTCGGCTGTTCTGGTTCCTTCGGGGACGGCCCTTCCGCCTCTCTCGCTATCGTTGGGTTTGGCCTCCGGGGACTTTGTGTTGGTTGCTGCGTCGCCGACTTCCTTTGCGTGTTTTTCGGGGTTCAGTGCCTTGGCGCCTGCCTGAACCCTCACTTGATGTGTACACGGACGTGTCGTCTCTTGGCTGGGAGTTTGTGACCAGTGCTCGCCAGCCCGGCCAGGGGTGGTGGGGTCTGTCCTTCCGTCAGGCTCACAGCATGGTCTGGGAGTTCACGGCGGTGTGGATGTCGCTCCAGAGGGTTCGAGTCGTTCGCGGATCGATGATCCGGCTCATTCGAACTGCTCCCCAGCGGTTCATTGCCTGAACCGAGGGGGTTCGATGTGGTCCTTGGCTGTTTGGGGTTGGTCACTTCGGGTGACTCGGCTGCTGAATTTTTGGGGTTTGGCTCTCTCTCCTGGCGGTTCATGTCCGGGGGGTGTCCAACATCTTGGCGGACGGCCTGTCTCGTTTCCTTCCCCATTCCATGGAATGGACGGTTGACGCCGACTCCTTCAGTTGGCTGTGCCAGATGTTTGGGACTCCGGATGTGAATCTCTTCGCGTCGGCGGGGTCGGCGCCTTCAGGCAGAACCTGGCCCCCTCAGAGAGGGGGGGCCAGGTTCTGGCTCGTGGTCCCCGGTAGGCCTAGAACTGCACCTACATTGACTGATGCCAAAAGTTTGGATTATCATATCAGTCTGGATATCTCCGGGGAGCTTCCGGGACTCGCCCAGAAAATGGTGTTTCATTGCATTCAATGCTAGTTTTTTTTAATGCTTTCAGGAAAAAGTTGCATACAGTATTTAAGAAAATATTTTTTATTCACTCAACCATGTAGCCATGGACCACAGTGAAATGGTTAATGGGAAAAGCAGACCCATTGGCAAGTAAAACACAGGTTGTTTGTGCTTTAAAGGAAATATGAATGGCAGTTTGACAAAAGGAGAGATAAGCTTCTGTTAATGAGGTGAGAATTAGTGCAGGCATGTGTGGTGGTGATGGATTACATTGAAAGTGTCAAAACACGCTTTCAATGATATGGGAGGATTAGTGACCATGGCGGCTACTATTGGCTCTTGTACCAGTACTGGAAAACTACTTTTTGCATTTGTTCTGGCACTAATAATTGAAATATTTATTGCTCTAGTGCCATGTATGTACAGCTATTAATATCAATTGGCATGAACAGGATGTGCCAGGTTGGATTCAAGATGAGGGAAGTGTTGGGAACTCCTCCAGTACTAGTGTGAACTCCTTGACCGTGTCCATGACAAGCATGTGCTCCTCCCTCCCCTCACCGTCCCAGCAAGACACTCTTGACGTTGACACTACATGTTCAGAAGCAATGGAGGAAAGTTGGGTAAGTGTATGTACATTACATTAATTTAAAAAAAAAAAGTTTACATAATCGGGCAGCTTTTGTTTATGAATTTTTTTTATACATTTAGCCGTGTACTTAGTGATGAATTAAAACATTGCAGAACGGGTTCTTATTGGCTTAAATGTAAATTTCGGTGACAAATATCATTCATTAAATTTATAGCATAATTTGCATGAGCTCATTGCTTGATTTAATTGTTGGTTTGGCATGGAAACTCCTCCAAGATAATAACTGGGGCTACACTTGTCTTGTATATTTATCACGGCCATTTTATTACACAAAACCATAAGCTATATGATGGGGTTCAGGACTGAATATTAAGTCTAATCAAAGTAACACGAGGTGTAAGTGTATGTGCATGCATATATGGCACAACTAGTTTGCTCAATGGTAAGTATCTTGTGGACATCTTGCATTTATCAGGTGGAGGGATGGTATATGTCTCTTATTGGGGGAGGGAGGCCTGCATCTTGAGTGTTTCTAGCAGTTTAATTGGTTTCTTTCAGCATTCCATTGAGAGAGACGAGCCCGTCTCTCTCGCCAGGTGTGATGACATGGATACAGCTATTGAAATTGAACACATCCCAAAGGTAGTTCTACAGTTTAGCTTAATTATTTTCTTATCAACTTTGTCAGTTACTGTTGATATGCTTTTGTACAGTAAGTTTCTGAAAATATTTGAGAAAAGGAAGCTTTACTAGCCAAATACCTTATGCATGCTTGATTCCCCAACTTCGATAAGAGCTTTAGTTATGAGACAAGACATCAACATTTAAAGGCTGGTTAGCTGGTTCTGTAACTTCTTATTTTTGTGACGATTGTCTTCCGACATTTTTTATTGGAGCCCATGATATTAAATCTTCTTTTTAACTAAAGCTCTCATTGAATTGGTGGTTGTGGTGGGGGCTTTTGGATTTTGTTATTGTTGACATTCATTTTACCTTTTTTCACTTCTTTTTGTAGGGTTCTTGGGTTTAGCATGTTAGGTAATTACCTAAGTGTAGTTACAGGATGAGAGCTACGCTCGTGGTGTCCCGTCTTCCCAGCATTCTTTGTCATATAACGCTTTGAAACTAACTAAAAGGTTACTGTCTGTGCTAAGATTTAATATTAACACATATTTGATATCTTGAAAGCAGATTAATAAATATTTCACTATATGGTTTTACTAAGGTCTGGTCACATTTAGTGCATTTGTTCTTATTGTTTCCAGCATGTTTCAAGCAGTTGACAGTGGAAAGAATTATGATATATTCCTTGACTTTATCAAAGCTATTAATATTGTTCCTCATGCAAGACTCAATAGAAAGGTAGAGGACCATGATATTGGGGGGAAGGGGGGTGGGGAGAGCTTATACTAAATTGGAGAAGGGCTTGGTCATATCAAAGGTAACAGGGTTAGCATAAGTGGAGGTAAGTCTGAATGTGAAACCATTGCAAGTGGAGTACTCCAAGGGTCTATTACCACTGTAATAGCCACTGTGACAGGCAAGAAACATTGAACTACAGGCCAGTTTCCCAACTTGTATACAATGAAAGTGGATGGAGAAGATCGTGTGGAAAAAGCTTGTAGAACATCTGGATAGTAGTAGTTTTGTAACACACCACCAGCATGAATTCAGATATGGCAAATCATGCCTCACAGGTTTAATAGAATTCTATGACTAGGCGACAAAAATTAGGCAAGAAAAGGGTGGGCAGACTGCATTTTCTTACTGTCAAAAAGCCTTTGATACAGTACCCCATAAGAGGCTGTTAAAAAAGTTGGAGAAACAGGCAAGAATAAAAGGCAAGTTGCTCAAATGGGTAAGTGAGTATCTAAGCAACAGGAAACATTGAGTAACTTTGAGGAGGGAGATCTCAGAGTTGTGAGATGTCACCAGCAAAGTCCCACAGGGCTCTGTTCTTGGATCCATCCTGTTTATGATACATGTAAAGGATCTTCTAGAAGGTATAGACTCATTCCTCTCAATGTTTGCTAATGTAAAAATTGAGAAAAATCAAGACAGAAGAAAATAGAGACTATATATTATGACCTGGACAAATTGGAGTCAAGTTTGAAGTCAAGGCGGAGTCAAGGCACCCAGAAAGGTAAGCGCCCCAAAACAAACCCCCTATTCTGGTGAAAACAGTGCTAAAAAGAGCCGAATGAGTGGACAGAACTCCCCCAAATGAAAACAAGTTAACTAGCATGATGTTACCATGTTGCTGCGCCACTGTCTATGCAACCCCCCCTTCCTAGGAGGGAATAGGGGGAGCCCCAGACATTCGCGCTGGCTACCCACCCTTCAGTTCTTGGCTGATGTGACACTGGCAAGTTTGTGTACCTCTGGCTTTAGAAAATTGTTTCAGTTCTGTGCCTTGTGATGTGGTGCTGTCTCTACAGTCATTGTGCGAGCCAGGAGTAATTTCTTCAGTACTTGGGCTGCATGCGCCTAGGGTTTCCTTCCATATGTGCCCTGTAAATACTGCCCTTGGGGCTTAGCGCCATCTTCCGCAAGTCGCCTTGGAATCTACCTCTGCTGTGTCTTTTGCTGCTCGGTGATTGACCGCCCTTGGAGTCAGCTGGGGTTTGTGTGTTCCCCCGTTTGTCTCGGGTAGGTGGTAGATTTTGTCACTGGTAGGCGCGCAGAGTACTGTGCTGCTAGTTATCACCTCTTATATCGGCCGGCTCTGTTCCGCCTGGGTACGTTGTCCTCTTGCGGGGTTTTTCTTTTTCTTTTTGTTTAACTGCCTGGTGGGGGGGTCTACCACTTGGTTGGTCATACCCTATTGTTACTTGGTGGTCCTCCGCTAGGCCCCCTGCGAGTGCGAGGGTTCAGCTTTAGCAGTTTGCTTGGTAGTTTTGGGCACTGGCTAGCAGTTCCCTGGGCTTCCCTTAGTGGAATACCACGACAAAGGGCCCTGGGGAAACCCCACGGTGGCTCTGTGGTTTGATGGATGTGACCTCTGGGTCCCCTCTCGCGTTATGCGAGTCAGAAGGTTGCTCTGTCCCCTTATCTCAGGGTTAACAATCACCGGTTGTGCCTCCACCATGCTGCCTGTAGGGTCGGTGATACTTTTGACCCGGAGTCATGCGAGTTTTGTTGCTTGCACTACTCCAGTTCACCCACTCTACTAATGATCATATGCAGATGCAGGCAGTTTTGGCCTTGCATGCTAAATTCAGGTTGCTGCAAGGCGAGAGGTTGGTTACTTCCCCGGGTGCCCCGAGACTGCCTCGCTTTGGCTATAGGGACCCGGGCTTTGGGATGTTAATCGCCTCGGCTCTGGTTCCGTCAGCATCCCCTAGTCCTTCCCCCTTATGTTATGAGTACTGGTCCTTCCCCCCTTGCTTTCGGCCCCAAAGCGTCTGAGGGTTTTGGAGTCAGAGCAAGGTTTAGTTGGTATTGAGACTGGCAGTTTGAGGAGTCCCCTTCCGGGGTGGCGGCCTAGGCATTTGAGCCTGGTCCTCCAGCCGAAGCTTCAGGGTCTGACCAGTGGGGCCCCCTTCGTTCCTACCTTTTATTTAGAGGCGGGGGGTTTGGAGGACAGCTCAGCCTCGGGTCCTTGGGGTGAGGTTCCTAGCACGGGGGAGAGATCGACTTGGGGGCATTGGGTCCCGTTGGAACCTTCTTGGGTTCTTGTATCCTCGGAGCGAGGCTTGGTGTTAAAAGGAGTGGGGTTCTATTATTCTCCCTCCTCGTACGAATTGGATTTGGCGTCTTCCCTTCCTTGACTGCGAGGCCATCGGGATAGATGCCTTCAGGCAGGACTGGTCAAGGTGGGATTACTGTACCTTTCCCCCGGGTTCAGCTGTTGCTCCAGGTCCTGGCTCACTTGGAGACTTACCTGGGAAGAGTTGTCCTTCTGGCTCCTTGGTGGCTGGCCCAGCCTTGGTTTCAGGTGCTGCTTGCTCAGTGTCCGAACCCGAGGGTTTTTCCGTGGCTCTGCCTCTTTCAACAGATCGGTCCAGCCCGGTACGTGGCTGGTTCGCTCTTATCCTCGAGTCTTCGTGTCTGGTCATTTTAACTTGTGTCAATCATCATTTGTATGGTGCGCAGGTGGCTTCGTTGGTCTCCCACCTGCGAGCTTCATCATGGTGGCAGTATGAAGTTTCCTGGTGGTCCTTCCGTTATTGCCTATCTCTGGGTAGGTGTACTTCAGTCTCTGATAGGGTTGTTTTGTCCTTTCTTTTGTGGTTGTTCCAGGACCGTCATCTTATGCTGAATACTGTTGCCTCGTATCGTGCGGTGCTGGCCGAGCCTCTGCAGCTTGCTTCTGTATTGATGTTACTTCTGCTCCGTTCCGCAAGCTGTCTCATGCGTTGTTTCACCTCTGGCCTGCTCATGCACCTCCCAAGTTGTCCTGGTCGTTAGACCGGGTGCTTTCTTTTCTCTCCCCTCGGTTTCTGGTGGCCCCTTTGGTTCAGGCTTGTTTTTTTAAGGCTCTTTTTTTTTTTTTTTTTTCCTGTTGGCATTGGCCTCTGGGGGTCGGGTTGGGAGCTTCATGCTCTCCTCCGGCACAGGGGGTTTCTGCTCTTTTTGGTCCTGGTGGTAGGTTTATTTGTTTGCAGACATCTTTTCAGGAGAAGAATGAGTCTGCTGCTTTCTGGAGGGGTCCTTGGGTTGTTGATGCTTGGTTGGTCATGCTGAGGGGTGCGTCATGTGTTATATCCGGTTACGGCTCGCCGCCATTATCTGCGCACCATGACTTCGGTGGCTACGGCTCACTGCCATTATCTGCGCACCATGACTTCGGTGGCCGGGAATGTTCTTTGGGTGGACCCGGTTTCCCTTCTTCCCTGTTACAGGGGGCGGGTCTTCCAAGTTGTCATCAGTTCTAGCCAGCCTACAGTCTATCCTCGTGCCCATGACGTTCGTAAGTTTGCTGCCTTGCCTGCCATCTTCGGTAACATGTCTTGGGTTGACATTCGGGCATAGGGTTTTTTTGAGGTCAAATAGGGTCCTGGCCGCTTTCTACCTTGTCCTCGTAGGGCCTGTGTTGCATTGGGTCGGCTGTTGCAGCCAGTTGTCTCAACTTTGAGTTGAGGAGCGAGGGCCGACCGCCTCCCGGGTAAGTCCCCGTCTTTTTTTTGTCTTTGGGTAGTTAGCTCCGGGAAGCCAACGGGGCTCAACTCAGAAAACCAGCGTTGAATGTAATGAAGTGCATTTTCTGGGCGACACCCCAAGGCTCCCCAGTAACCCTCCCTTCCTCCGGTCAGCAGTTTTTCACATTTTTTATGTCCAGCCTTAAGAACTGAAGGGTGGGTAGCCGGTGTGAAGGTCTGGGGCTTTCCCCTTTCCCCTCTCAGGGAGGGGAGGGAGGTTACCCAGACAACGGTGCGGCAACATGGTGATGTCATGCTAGTTTGCTTCTTTTCATTTGGGGAGTTCCGTCCACTTGTTCAGCTCTTTTTAGCAATGTTTTCACTAGAATAGAGGAGTTTGTTTTGGGGCACTTATTTTTCTGGGTTCCTGACCAGGTCGATGGCAAACATAGAATGCTTCCAACCACAAGGGGATTACTATAGGCCACAGCTCCTTGTGCCTTTCTGAGGGGGGGGACCAGGTTCTGGCTCGTGGTCCCTGGTAGGCCTATAACTCCTCGCACATTGACTGATGCCAGAAATCTAATATGTCCATATCAGCCTGGATAGCTCCGGGGAGCCTCCGGGTCTCTCTGAAAATGGCGTTTCATTCCATTCAATGCTGGTTTTATTGATAGGGGAAGAGGTCATAATTATGAATGCCATACAGTATATATTTTGTACATATAAAAGTAAGTACCAAGTGCATGAATGTGACTGTATACTACAGTCAGTATTTCTTGCGGACCACGAATATTATACTGTACTTCTTAATTTTTTTAGTGTTGTTCTATAGACAGACATCTTGTAATGATTATTGAGTATTCACTACTTTTGTAACCTTTATTCTCCACGCCTGCATGTACTGGCACATTGACTGGTGGGCCACCTGGGTTATGCTGTCTTTATTTCTCTCTGCCTGTCTCGTTTGTCTGTGTGTCTCTACCTCGCCTCAGGGTCTGTCTCTTGTTTCTCTCTCGACTTTCTCTCTCATCTTTTGGCCCGTCTCTTGTTGCTCAGCCCGTGTCTTGTCTTGTATCTTATCTCCTGCCTCTCGGCCTGTCTTGTCTTTCAGTCTTTTGTCCCTCAAAATGTCTCACCTGTCGGTCTCTCTCTCATTTCTCTTGTCCTGTCTCTTGTCACTCGGCCTGTTTCTTGTCACTCGGCCTGTTTCTTGTCACTCGGCCTGTCTCTTGTCACTCGGCCTGTCTCTTGTCACTCGGCCTGTCTCTTGTCACTCGGCCTGTCTCTTGTCACTCGGCCTGTCTCTTGTCACTCGGCCTGTCTCTTGTCACTCGGGCCTGTCTCTTGTCACTCGGGCCTGTCTCTTGTCACTCGGCCTGTCTCTTGTCACTCGGCCTGTCTCTTGTCACTCGGCCTGTCTCTTGTCACTCGGGCCTGTCTCTTGTCACTCGGGCCTGTCTCTTGTCACTCGGGCCTGTCTCTTGTCACTCGGGCCTGTCTCTTATCTCCATTGTCACTCTTGTTGATCAGTCCTTGCTCATCTCTTGGTCTGTCACAGCTTTTAATCTCTTGGGCTGTTTCTCATCTCTCGGCACATCTCTCATGTCTCCGTCCGTCTCGTGTCTATCAGCTCATCTCTTGTTCTTTGTCTTGTCTCTCGGCCCGTCTCATCTCTTGGGCCATATCTTGCCTCTCAGCCCCTCTCTCTCTCCTCCCAGCTTGTCTTGCCTCTTGGTCCATCTTGGCATTCTGCCCCATCTCTGTTCTCTTTGTCTGTCTCTTGGCCCATCCCGATTCTCATGTCGGCTTGTTTCTCGTCTCTCGACCTATCTCGCTTCTCTCGGCCTTGTCTCAGATCTCTCAGCCTGTCTCATGTCTCCCAGCCAGTCTCAAGTGTCTGTCTCGTATTTCTTCCCCAACTTCCCACGCATCAGCCAGATTTTTATGAGATAACCATTTTCTTGAGACTATTTAATCTTATCTGATGATTCATACAGATAATGGGTGACAGTTGTAGTTGAATGCTTCTCTGCTCACCACGTAAAGATGTTTACTCAATTAAAGTCTACTTTTCTCAAAAAGGTATCCAGAAAAAAGAGAGGCAGCCGGTCGTCATCAAGAAGCTCATCGCAAGTGTCGTCAGGCGGGACTACACCTGTTGAATCGGACGTCCAGACCACAACTAAGGCTGCTGTAAAGGACCAGCTATTTGTGTGTGCTGCTTCATGTGACCAAAGAGTATCTGGGGAAAATCTTGGTACCATTCCATTTGACTCTAGAACTGGTGTATTCCATGGTGAGAAAATACCAAAGAAAACCTGTGATAATTTTGACAAAGATGTCTACAATATTTCCAAAGATAAAAAGAGTGTAGAAAATAATATAAGATGTAAGGAAAACCAGCTACGAGAAGATGGTAGAGACACGTGCTTACACAAGCAAATCAGTAGATGTGTTGAGACCAAAGACTCTGACAGTAAAGTTACTAAACAGGAGAAAGGGAGTGCGGAAAACGAAAGTGTCGTTATTCACCGTCGTCAGCTGCCAGCGTCTAAGAATAGTGAGAAGAGAGTCTCCTTCACTGATATGACAGATGCAGGACACACAAAACACATTCACAAGTAAGCATTTCAATTGTGGTTAATTTGTGTACTTTTGTAACTAAAATTAAAAAAAAGTTAGATTATTCAAAGTGTGTTATTACCTGTGTGCTTATGGATTGGAAAGACTAGCTCTTATGTCTTTAGTTCCTGTTTAGTATCTTGTTAAATACAGTTTACAATTTCTCATGACTGTCATGTGTGGTATTCTGTGATGGTGGATTGAATTGGTCTTGATCATCTTTACATCTATTAACTATTTGTACAGAAAAACATTGTTTCACGCTTTCACCTACATCCTTATTAATTTCATGTTTGTATCTTTTATGTTGTGACCATCTCTCCATTGTACTGTATCATCATTCCTCTCATATTTATAGATTCACCTCTTTGAACCTGTTAATATAGCTCGAGTATTGTTTTTCAATCAGTCCTATGACAAATCTCCTGGCCTTTTCAGTTTTCTTTCTGGGTCTCATTAGGTGTGGATTCATTGTTGGTCAAACTCAGTCACTGGTCTAGGCCTTAAAGTTAATAATGAACCAACCATCTGGGTGCCTGACCCGGTCGACGGCAGACACGGAATGCTTGTGGAAGTGGAAGAATTATTTTCCAAACTTTGGACACTACACCAAAGGCTTGTACAAAAAAATCTTGTTATAAATGCAATTACATATGCTATAGATTGTACAGCCATCATGGTTGGCTATCAGTAGGGTATTGCAACATATTTCAGTAATTCGGTGTATTGTCTGTCATCAAAATTTGGTTGCCAAATATATTGATGACAGATTACAACATAAACACTCACTCTGGGCCAAGTTATAACTATCTTCCATTGCTTCTTTCTCTCTCTCCTCTCTGTTCTTGTAGACAATGCACCCCTATTGAGCCTTGGCATGAGCTCCAGCAGGTGGTACACAAAGGTAGTGTAGCAGCATCACATTTTGTAGGGTGAGATGATGATGAAGTAAAGTGCTGTCTGTATGGCTGTCTTCTGAGCAAAATACATAATCTTCATCACTCTCAGAATCATGTAAAAGGTGGCATTTACAAGTGTGCTTTCATCCAGTTTTTTTTAATTTCATCATGTGTAAGTGAAAATATCAACAAAGTGCATAAATGGGCTGGAGGCTTTAACCACATATGCCACCCATGGTTGCTATCTTGAAACAACTGGCCTGTAGCCAATGTAACATGCTCACTAATTATTCCAAGATGGCATTGTTTACTGGACCTCTGCAGAAGCAGATGTGAGCACTGTGTACCTGTGGGATTTTCAAATGTTGCATGGTACGTTAACACAACCCTGGTTGTAATGTACACTACTGGTCAGACATCCCTAGTTGTGACACCTGGTTCAATGGGCTAAAGTGAGTTAGGGAAGGAAAGTTTTGGTGTAATGAAATTCTTAGAAAACAAAAAGATAGGCATTGATGCAGCTTGCAGGCTGAATGACAATGATGACATAAAAATTACATAAAAAAATTAGAACATTAAGAATAGTCTGAGAAGCGTGGTGTTAAGAATAAAAGATGACGATGCGAAGAGATGTCAAGTGCAGAGGTGAGTAAATCCCCAAGATTGAGAACATTGAGATAATTTATTGGGTGCTCAACCAATGAATGGTGGTTCACTGGTGAAATGTGTATTCAAGAGAATTTTAGAGTCAAAGGAAGAGTTAGACCAGGAAAGAGGTCAGGGGCCATGGTAATTGTCTGTCAGCAGCAGAAGTGAGTGTATTGGATGTGGTTAAGAGATAAGGCTAGGTGAAAGGTGTTTGCAAAGATGGAGTGAATATATTTGTGTATTGTGACTGACAATGATGACCACTGTACAGCTGTCATAAGAATGGTGCTCTTTTGATGAACTGGTATCTTGGGATAATTTCGAGGGCTTTAGTGTCCCCGCGGCCCGGTTCTCGGCCAGGCCTCCACCCCCAGGAAGCAGCCCGTGACAGCTGACTAACACCCAGGTACCTTTTCTGGGGGGAGCCCCTACGGCTCCCTGGAGCTTATCGGGCTAATGTGTGTTATGTTAGACCGGGACATTAGCTATGGAGTTCAGACCTACCAGGGACCAGCGCCAGAACCTGGCCCCTTCAGAGAGGTTTCAGGGAGCAATGGCCCTGGAAAACCCCATATGGTTGGGGGTTTTCCTTATCTGCCATCGACCGGGGTTAGGCACCCAGAAAGGTAGGCGTAACAAAACAAACCCCACATGGTAAAAAACTACAACAAAAACCGAACAGAGAGGTAGAAAACTCCCTACAATCCCAAGGAAAACAATCAAACAATCAATTTACTGCCGCGCCGGTCGTCCGCGCAGCCCTCCCCTCCCCGGGAGGGGGAGGGGGGGGGCCCCGGACCTCACCGCGCCGGCTGCCGTCAGTTCGCAAGCTAGTGTCAACCGGGATAGACGCTTCTCTGGCCTCAAATTCCTTGGCGGTGTTTGCCTCGTGTGGCGTTCTCTGCTGTTGTTGTGGTGTGCGGTGGCCAGGAGTACTTCATCAGTGCCGGGGCTGCATGCGTCTAGGGCTTCCTTCCCTAGGCGCCCTGTGAGTACTGCCCTTGCGTGTCAGGGTTATCTTCTCTGGGGCGTTCGGGAACCGCTCCCGTAGAGGTTTTTGCTGCTCGGCATTTGCCTCGCCCTTGGGGCCAGCTGGGGCTTGGGGCCCTTGTTTGGCCTTGGGTAGGGAGTGGTTTTGTGCTGGTTAGGGCGTCAAGGTGTTGCGCGGCCTGCCACCTAAGCGGCGACCGGTTCCTGTTGCTCTGGGGACGGTGTACTTTTGCGGGGTTTTTCTTTTGTTTTGTTTTTGTTTGCCTGGTGGAGGTGCTGCCTCGTGGGCCCATAGTTCCCCTGGTATTGTTTTGGTGGTCCTCTGCTAGGCCCCCGTGCTTGTACACGTCCCAGGGGTTTTCAGTATTATCATTTACCCGTGTTTTGTTTGGGTTTCTTAACCGGTTAGCAACACCTTGCCCGGGCTTCCCGTAGTTGCTACCCTACGGGCCCTGGAAACCCCTGTCGGGGCTCGGGGACCCATGGAGGCGTCTCCCGAGTTCCAGCCTGCCTTGTGCGGGTTTGAAGGTTGCAGTGTGCCCTTGTCTCAGGGTGACAGTCACCTGTTTTGCCTCCGTCATGCTGCCTGTTGGGTCAATGACACCTTTGACCCGGAGTCTTGCGAGTCCTGTTCTCTGCTTGTGCTCAGGTTTTACTCTGAGGATGTTCCTATTAGAGTACAGGCAGCATCAGCGTTGCATGTTAGATTTAGGTTATTGCAACGCGCTAGGTCGGTTTCCCGCCTGGATGCCCCGAGGCTGCCCCGTTTTGGTTTTAGGGACCCTGACCTGGGGGCGTTGATTGCTATGGCTTTGACTCCTACGCCCTCTGGTCCTTCCCCTGTGGTTCTTCCTGCACCACCCCCCCTGTGTCCGGCTCCGAAACGTATGCAGCTTTCGGCCTTGGCACAGGATTTAGTTGGTGGAGAGACTCGGGCTGCTTCGGGGGCTGCCCCATCCGGGTCGGGGACGGAGGCATTTAAGCCGGTTCCTCCTGCCGAGGCTTCTGGGTCCCACCAGCAGGCCCCCTTGTCTGCCTTTCCCTTGGACTCTACCTTTTCTTCAGGGGTAGAGGGTTTGGAGGACGGCTCTGCCCCGGGTCCCGACGTAAGGGACCCTGGGGCTGGGAGGAGTCGGCCTGGGGGCCTTGGGCCCCCTGTGACCCCGCTTGGGTGCTTCTGCCTTCCCCACGGGGTTTATTGTTGCAGGGGGAGGGGTTTTCTTATCCTCCCTCACTGTATGAGTATGATTTGGGTTCGGCTCCTCCCCGTGTTCGGTTCCGGGCGCCTTTGGGTACCTCGGCTCCGTCTTTACAGGGGTTTGCTACTTCCCGTCTCTCCGCGAAGGTGGCTCGGGAAGCTCTTGCTGCATACCTCTTGCGAGACCCGGGTTATGCCTCCCCAATGGATCCGTCCTCGTTTGAGTTCGGTTCTTCTTCCCGTTTTTGGGTACGTTTGGAGGTTCCGGGGTCTTCCTGGCTAGCAGACTGCCCTTTCTTTTCGTTGGGGGCGTGGCATGGGTTCTGTCGGACCCGCACGCTTGATTGGCGCGAGACTGCTACTTTTATGCAGGTTTACCTGGGGGGCGAGTTTGAGCACCTTAATGCGTGCTTATTCGCTCCTGTGCTTTCTCGGGATGTTGGCCTTTTCCAGCTTCACGTGCAGGTTCCTCAGCTTTCGGCTTCATTGGTTGCGGAGGAGTTGCGCTCCCGTGGGCATTTGGCTTCGGTCTTGCGTTTCTTTTCCCTTCTCGAGCTCTCTTCTGCTTGGCTCGAGGAGGATGTGGGAGCGTTGGCTGAAGGGCCTTCGTCCGGGGCGCTTTCTTCGGCGGCTAGGGCGTCGGCTGCACTGTTGAAGCTCTTTGCGCCCATCCTGAAGGAAGCGGTGTCTCTGTTTTTTGCTTCTCGCCTCGCGTGCCGTCAGGCTGTGCTCGCCCTCTCTTTGGATTCCGCTTGGGCCCTGGCTCTTAGGTTTTCGTCTCCTTTTTGTCCGTTGCTGTTTGCAGAGTCTGCGGTGTCCCAGTTTCTGCATGCGGCTTCGGCTAGTTGTCGTCCTATGGCGGACTTGTTGATTCTCCGGAGCGGTCGTTCTCGGCAGTTTCGGAGGGGTCGTGCCAGGGTTTCGGTTTCCGCTGGTCGAGGTGGGCCTTTGGTGCCGGTTTCTGAGCCGTTGTTCCCTTTGGGGCCAGCGTCGTCTGGGCGGCGCAGTGTTCGCCCTGTTCGACGGTTGGGTTCTCGTGCGGGGCGTCGGCAGTTTCGCGGTTTGCCCCGTTGACGGGGCGATGGGGGGGAGGCTCGCTCTGTTTGCCCACGCTTGGTCCCACGATTTGTGGGCCTTTTCGGTCGTGTCATCCGGCCTGCGGTGGCGTTGGGCGACTCGTCCTCCTTTGGGGGGTTCGGGGCTAACAGGGCAGGTCTCTTCTCCTGCGCTTCGTCAAGTCATCTTGGAGTGGGTGCGCTTGGGCGTGGTCGAACCGACTACGTCCCTCAGGTGGGTTTCCCGCCTGTTTCCAGTGCCGAAACGGGACTGTGCGGATCTGAGGTTCATTCTGGACTTGTCCCGTCTGAACCCCTGGATTCCTTGCCCCTCCTTTCGGATGACTACTGTCTCAGGTCCGGCTTCTGTTGGAGCCGGGTGCCTGGATGGTGTCCCTGGACCTAAAGGACGCGTATTGGCACGTTCCTATTCATCCAGGGTTCAGGGACTGGTTAGGCTTCGTGGTAGGGCGTCACGCTTACCGTTTTCGATGCCTACCTTTTGGCCTGAATCTGGCACCTCGCGTTTTCACGCGTCTGACCCGAGTTGTGGTGACCCGTCTGCGTCTTCTAGGGATTCGGGTTTTGGCCTACCTCGACGACTGGCTGGTGTGGGCTCCCAGTCGGTCAGCTTGTCTGCTCGCCAGGGATTTGGTTCTTTCCCAGCTCGCCAGGTTCGGGTTCCTGGTGAACTGGAGGAAGTCCCATCTGGTTCCGTCCCAGGTTCGGACCTGGCTGGGTCTTGTTTGGGATTCTCGGACCGCTTCCTTGTCTCTACCTCCGGTGGCGTTGCGGCGGCTGCGGGACCGCCGTTTGCTGTTTCTGAGAGGGTCCCGGGTCACTCGGCGGTTGCTCGAGCGGTTGTGCGGGAGTCTGAACTTCGCCATGCTAGTCTACCCGCCGGGTCGGGTTTGGCTTCGGCGTCTGTTTTGGTTCCTTCGGGGACGTCCTTTCCGCCTCTCTCGCGATCGTTGGGTTCGCCCTCCGGGGGTCTTATGTCGGTTGCTGCGTCACCGTCTTCCTCTTCGGATTTTTCGGGGTTCGGTGCCTTGGCGCCTTCCCGAGCCCTCGCTCGATGTGTTCACGGACGCGTCGTCTCTCGGCTGGGGCTTTGTGACCAGTGCTCACCAGGCAGGCCAGGGACGGTGGGGTCCGTCCTTCCATCGGGCTCACAGCACGGTTCGGGAGTTCGCGGCTGTCTGGTTCGCGCTTCGGAGGGTTCGGGTCGCTCGGGGATCGACCATTCGCCTCCATTCGGACTGTTCTCCGGTGGTTCATTGCCTGAACCGCGGGGGTTCTCTTCGGTCCTTGGCTCTTTGGGGTTGGTCCCTTCGAGTGGTTCGTCTGCTGGATTCTCGGGGTTTGGCTCTCCGTGCGGTTCACGTCCGGGGAGTGTCCAACGTTCTGGCGGACGGTCTGTCTCGCTTCCTTCCCCTGTCCACGGAATGGACGGTCGACGACGACTCGTTTCGTTGGATCTGCCAGACGTACGGTCTCCCAGATGTGGACCTCTTCGCGTCGGCGTGGTCCCGGCGTCTCCCTCTATATGTGACGCCCTTCCCCGACTGCGAGGCGTTCGCGGTGGATGCTTTTCGGCAGGACTGGTCGAGGTGGGGTTACCTGTACCTTTTTCCTCCGGTCCAGCTGTTGCTTCGGGTTCTGGTTCGGTTAGAGACATTCCCGGGGAGAGTAGTCCTCGTGGCCCCTTGGTGGCCGGCCCAGCCTTGGTTTCCGGTGCTTCTGGCTCGGTGCCCGAACCCGGGACGTTTCCCGCGGCTCCGCCTCTTTCAGCAGGTCGGCCCGATCCGGTACGGGGCTGGTTCGACCTTCTCCTCTGCTCTTCGCGTCTGGTCTTTTTGACGCGGGTGTATCACCATTTCTATGGTGATCAGGTGGCTTCTTTGATGGTGTCCCACCTGAGAGCTTCGTCTAGGCGACAGTATGAAGTTTCCTGGCGTTCCTTTCGCCATTTTCTGGCTCTTCGTAGGTTGTCTTTTCTCTCGGATCGGGTTGTTTTGTCCTTCCTTACTTGGCTTTTTCAGGACCGTCATTTGATGCCTAATACTGTCGCCTCGTATCGTGCGGCGCTGGCGGAGCCGCTCCAGCTCGCTTTCGGGGTGGACGTCACATCCGCCCCGTTTCGTAAGCTTTCCCGTGCTATGTTTCACCTCCGGCCTGCTCATGCGCCGCCTGAGCCGTCCTGGTCCTTGGACAGGGTGCTCTCCTATCTTTCCTCTCCTCGGTTTGTGGTGGCCCCTTCGGTTCCTGATTGTTTTTCCAAGGCTTTGTTTTTGTTGGCATTGGCCTCTGGGGGCCGGGTAGGGGAGCTTCATGCTCTCCTCCGGCGCAGGGGTTACTGCTCTTTTGGTCCTGGGGGTAGGTTTGTCCGTTTGCAGCCTTCTCCGTCCTTTCTGGCAAAGAACGAGACGGCTGCTTTCCGGAGGGGTCCGTGGGTCATTGATGCTTGGTTGGTTCGGCCGGGGGTGCATCATGTGTTGTGTCCTGTTGCTGCACTTCGCCGTTACCTGCGCGCTTCGGCCGGAGTGGCTGGGGATGCGCTTTGGGTTGATCCGGTTTCCCTCGTTCCCTGTTCCAGGGCTCGGGTCTCCCAGGTTGTCCGCAGGGTTATTAAATCTAGCCAGCCTGCGGTCTATCCTCGCGCCCATGACGTTAGGAAGTTTGCGGCTTTGGCTGCTGTGTTTGGTAATATGTCTTGGGCTCATATTCGGGCGCGTGGATTTTGGAAGTCGAACAGGGTCCTGGCCGCCCGTTATTTGGTGAATGTCCCTGCTCCTCGTCGTTCTTGTGTTGCTTTGGGTCGCAGGTTGCAGCCAGTTGTCTCGACTTCGAGTTGAGGAGTTTGTGGCCACCGCCTCCCGGGTAAGTCCCATTTTTCCTTCTCTTTGGGTATGTAGCTCCAGGGAGCCGTAGGGGCTCCCCCCAGAAAACCAGCGTTGAATGTAATGAAACGCCATTTTCTGGGTGAGCCCCGGAGGCTCCCTGGTTACCCTCCCTCCCATCCGGTCGGCGGGATTTTTCGCGTTGGTTGAAGCCTAGTTTCCGAACTGACGGCAGCCGGCGCGGTGAGGTCCGGGGCCCCCCCCCTCCCCCTCCCGGGGAGGGGAGGGCTGCGCGGACGACCGGCGCGGCAGTAAATTGATTGTTTGATTGTTTTCCTTGGGATTGTAGGGAGTTTTCTACCTCTCTGTTCGGTTTTTGTTGTAGTTTTTTACCATGTGGGGTTTGTTTTGTTACGCCTACCTTTCTGGGTGCCTAACCCCGGTCGATGGCAGATAAGGAAAACCCCCAACCATATGGGGTTTTCCAGGGCCATTGCTCCCTGAAACCTCTCTGAAGGGGCCAGGTTCTGGCGCTGGTCCCTGGTAGGTCTGAACTCCATAGCTAATGTCCCGGTCTAACATAACACACATTAGCCCGATAAGCTCCAGGGAGCCTCCGGGGCTCACCCAGAAAATGGCGTTTCATTACATTCAACGCTGGTTTTTTACTGCTAGGTAACAGGGGCATAGGATGAAAGAAACTCTGCCCATTGTTTCTCGCCGGCGCCCGGGATCGAACCCAGGACCACAGGATCACAAGTCCAGCGTGCTGTCCGATCGGCCGACCGGCTCCCTCTAACTGTGCTAGAGTATGGATGTGCTTGTTTGTGAATGATTCAATACTGAGTAATATACTTTAAATATCTATAACCTTCTCTCACTGTATTATTCACCTTTTTCTCTTTAGGTTGCTGCCTCACACCATGAAAGTGAGACATTGATAATGTATTTGTATGAGTGAGGTAGAAGAGATGTGTTGTGGAAAGATGACTATAGTGTGGTAGGAAGGTGTAGGTGTAGGACCACACTAAACACACACACTAATGTGATAGTGGAGCACTCAGACATGGAATGCATTTCTTGGTGTGACACTTAGCTTTGTTTTCTTTTATTATTTGTTGTTAGATATGCATTAGCTAACTTTGAAATATTGTGCAGTAATTGTGATTTCCTGATTTGCTTTGTTGCAGTCGACTCAGCTTAGGTGGTGATCGGTCCACAGGGACTGAAATTCGTGACCTAAATGACCTGAGAGATTTATTATCTAACCTAAGAGACCAAGGGCTGCTACCTGTCTCTTTAGCATTGGATGAACTTTTTAACAGTCTTGACCAGGTGAGTTGCTGGTGTTTAATTTCATACATTGTTAAATATATTTATTGTTCCATCTGTTACATTGTTTTGACCTATTTGAGCCTCGAAAACCTTTCTTTCTGGAGGGAGCCTCTTGGTGGCTGCCTGAAACTGTCACATCAGTCGCAGGAGTCCTGTGTAGCCGAGAACCAGGGCCAGAACCTGGTCGACCTCGTAAAGGCACAGGGAGCAGGCGATTGTTACAATCACCCTCACTGAGAAAACATCTATAAAGAGAAGCAATGCTGGCAATTAAAAGGTATACATAAAATGAAGCACCAAAACAGCCAAACTACTCTGCAAATGATTCACTTGAAAGCAGCTTGAACAGTACCTCCATGTAGGAATAGCTGCCAACAGGTGGAACTCCAAGTTCCCACCCCCAACAGTGAGTCAGTCCTGTCACTGATTGAATAATTAAACCAACCTGATCCACCCGGCCGTAGCAAGTGCCATTTCTTTTTTTAAGGTAAATAATTCCGTACATGTAGTTAAAGGATGCTTGTGGTGTCCCATTTTCCCAGCACTGTCATATAATGCTTTGAAACTCCTGATGGTTTTGGCCGCCGCCACCTTTTCACTTAACTTGTTCCAACCATCTACCACTCTGTGAAAGTAATTTTTTTTTATTTCTTCGGTAGCTTTGCTTAGTTTAAATCTATGACATATTGTTATTGAAGTTCCAGGTCTTGGAATTCTTCCGTATCACTTTTGTAGAGTCCAGCTATTATTTTGTATGTAGTATCATATCGCCGCCTCTTTTTCTGTGAGAGCAACCCCCCCGGCTCCCTGGAGCTTACTGGGCTGATATGTATGTATTAGACCGTGGCATCAAACAATTCAATTGGAGTTCTTACCTACCGGGGACCACGAGCCAGAACCTGGCCCCCTCGGAGAGGCACGAGGAGCAATGGCCAATAGAAACCCCTCATATGGTTGGAAGCATTCTATCTCTACCATCTACCAGGTTAGGCGCCCAGAAAGGTAAGCGTCCCAAGACAAACTACAGCTGGTTTAAAAATTGCGACCGAAAGCCGAACTAGCAAGCAGAACACCCCAAACCGAAAACAAGCAAACAAGGTGCCCTGTAATTACATGTACTGCCCTTGCAGTTTGGGGTTGCCTTCTACAAACTGTTTGGAGGAACTACCTCCACAGGGTTCTTTTGCTGCTCAGTGAAAGCCCCTTGGGGTCAGCTGGGGCTTTCTTGCCACTGTTTGTCCTTTGGTAGGAGGTAGTATAGTTGCTGGCAGGGGTGCAAGTACTGTGCAGCTGTCTTGTAATACACATAGAGGTCGGTTCTGTTCCTCCTGGAGATGATGTACTTTTGCAGGGTTTTTCCGTTTCTTTTCTTTTGGTTGCCTGGTGGGGGGGTCTGCCTGGTGTGGCTACAGGACCACTTGTGTTATTTTGGTGGCCCTCTGCTAGGCCCCAGTGATTGTACACGTCGCAGGGGGTTCAGCTTTTGTTTGTTTGTTTGGTAGTTCTGGGATAACCAGTTAGCAGTACCTTGCCTGGGCTTCCCTTAGCAGTCAGCCTAAGGGGCCTGGAAAAGCCCATTGGGGCTCAGTGGTCCAATGGATGTGTCCTCTGAATCCCATCTTGCTTTGTGCGAGTTGGGTCAGTGTCACCTTTGACCCGGAGTCCTGCGAGTGGTGTTCCTTGCTTGTACTCCAGTTCACCCAGTCCAGTGCTACTAATTTTCGACTACAGGCAAATTCAGCATTGCATGTGAAATTTAGGTTGTTGCGACACGCTGGATTGGTTGCCTTTCTGGATGTCCAGAGGCTGCCCCTCTTTGGTTATAGGGACCCGAACTTGGGGTGTTAGTCGCCTCGACTTTGGTTTTGTCCGTGCCCCCTTATCCTTTATCTTTTGTTCATCCTGCTTTCCCCCCTTTTCTGTTGCAGGCTTTCAAATGTCTGAGGGTTTCGGAGTTGGGGCAGGGTTTAGATGGTGGTGAGACTCGGGCAGTTTTGGGTGCTGCCCTTTCCAGTTCGGCAGCGGAGGCATTCGACCCGGTTTCTTCTGCCGGGGCTTTCAGGTTGGACCAGCGGACTCCCCTTCTTCCCTGCTTTTCCGGTGGTCTCTGCTTTTCCTCCAGAGGCAGAGGGTTTGGAGGCCAGCTCTGCCCCAGGTCCTGACGTAGAGGAACCAGGGCTGGGGATGAGTTGGCTTTGGGGGGGGGGGGGCTTGGGCCCCATTTAATCCCGCTTGGGTGTTGGTACTCTCGGCACGGGGCTTGTTGTTGCAGGAGGAGAGGTTTTCTTATTCCCCCTCCCTGTATGAGTTTGATATGAGTTCGACTCCTCCCCAGGTTCAGTTTCGGGTTCCTTTGTGTTCCTCGGTTCCCTCCCTCCAGAGGTTTTCAGCGTCCCACATCTCACCTAAGGTGATTCAGGAGGCTATTGCTTCCTTACTGGGTGCGTTACAAGGTGCCGGAGTCTTCCTGGTTGGCAGACTGCCCTCTCATTTTGTTGGGGGGGGGGGGGGGGGGGGGGGGAGGTGCATTCTGTTGGACCCGCACGCTTGAGTGGTGGGAAACTACTACAGTCATTCAGGTTTACCTGTGGGACGAGTTTGAGTACGTCAATGCGTGTTTGTTCACCTGTTCTTCCTCGAGATATCGGCCAGCTGCAGCTTCACATGCAGGTTCCCACCCTTTCAGCGTCCTTGGTGGCTGAGGACTTGTGCACCCGTGAGCATTTGGCTTCAATCTTGCTCTTCTTTTCCCTGCTTGAGCTGTCTTCAGATTGGCAAGAGGAGGATGTGGTGGTGCTGGTTTCCGGGCCTGCGACCGGTGCGCTTGCCTTGGCAGCTTGGGTATCGGCTGCCTTGTTGAAGTTGTTTGTACCGATACTGAAGGAAACGGTGTCTCTGTTCTTTGCTTCTCCCTTCGCGTGACTGCTCGAGTGCTGCTCGCTCACTCTTTGCAATCTGCTTGGGCCCTGGCTCCTAGATTTTGTCCCTTTCTGGGGGAAGCCACTTTGGCTCCCCAGAACTTATCCAGGCTGATATGGATATATTAGACCTTGGTATCAGTCAGTGTGAATGGAGTTCTTAGGCGTACCAGTGACCATGAGCCAGAACCTGGCTCCTTCAGAGAGATACGAGGAGCTATGGGGCTATAGAAATGCACATGTGATTTGGAGAATTATATGTTTGCCATCGACCGGGTCAGGCACCCAGAAAGGTAAGCATCCCAAAATAAACCGCTATTCTGGTTAAAACTACTGTACTACTAAAAGTCTAGCGAGTCGACAGAACTCCCTCAAAGGAAAACAAGCAAACGAGCATGATGTCACCACGGGCCGTGTCGCAATCTGCACAGCGACCTTCCCCCTCCTCTTGGGGAGGGAGAAGGTGGAGCCCCAAACTCCTCATGCCGGCTACCCACACCCCAGTTCTTGGCTGATATGTTTGAGGCTTGGTTGTGTGACTCTAGCTCCTGTTTTTTGTTCTCAGTGCTGTACAGTACCTTGTGTCCTAGTACTGTCTTCAGGGTGGGGAATGAGCTGGAAGTAATCTTCACAAGTACTCAGGCTGCATGTGTTTAGGGTTCCCTTCTCTAAGTGCCCTGTAAGTACTGCCCTTGGGGCTTTGGGTTTATCTTCCACTAGTCAGATTGGGGTCTACCTTTGTTGGTCTTTTGCTGCTCAGTAATTGACTGCCCTGAGTGTGCTGAGGGGTTTCCTCCTCCCTTGTAAACCTTAGGGCATAGGGTCGGTTGCACTGGTAGGGGCGCGGGTTACTGCACAGCTAGTTTTCCCCTATTATAGTGACTGGCTCTGTTCTGCTTAGGTACATTGTTCTCTTGCGGTGTTTTTCATTTTTTTGTTGTCCTGGCTGGTGGGTAATTACCTAAGTGTAATTACCTAAGTGTAGTTACAGGATGAGAGCTATGCTCGTGGTGTCCCGTCTTCCCAGCACTCTTTGGGTGGGTGGAGGGGTCTGCCTTTTGTTCGTTGCCCCTTATCTATAACTTAGGGTTATTTATATATCTGTGTTTCTGGGTGGTACCTCCTGCTTGGCCCCTGTGAGTGGAAATGTTCCGGTGTCAGCTTTTATCAGCTTGATTGATAGACTTGGGCGCCGGTTCGCAGTATCCTGCTTGGGCTTACCCTTAGCGTTACCAGTCTAAGGGCCCTGGAAAACCCCGCGGGGGCGCAAGGGGTCCGATGGATGTGACCCCTGGGTCCCCTCTTGCCTTGTGCGAGTTTGAGGGTTGCTCTTTCCCCTTGTCTCAGGGTGCCTCTCACTGTTTTTGCCTCCGTCTTGCTGCCTGTTAGGTCGGTGACACCTTCGACCCAGAGTCCTGTGAATTTTGGATGTTGGGGGGGATGTTACTACTCCTCCGTTTCGTTAGGTATCTCGTGCGTTGTTTCACCTCCGGCCTTCTCATGCGTCGCCTAAGCGATCCTGATCATTTGACCGGGTGCTCTTTTCTCTCTTCTCGGTTTGTGGTGGCCCCTTTTGTTCAGGATTGTTCTTCTAAAGCTCTTTTTTTTTTTTTTTTTTTCTTGTAGGCATTGGCCTCTTTGGGTCGGGTTGGGGGAGCTTCATGCTCTCCTCGGGCGCAGGGGTTTCAACTCTTTCGGTCCTGGTGGTTTGTTTGTTTGTATGTTTGTATGTTTGTTTGTAGCCGTCTCCTTCCTTTCTGGCAAAGAATAAGATTGCCGCTTTCCGGAGAGATCCTTGGGTCTTTGATGCTAGGTTGGTCAGGTTGGGAGTGTATCATGTGTTATGTCTGGTTGCGGCTCCCTGCCATTAACTATGCGCCTCGGCTTCGGTGGCCGGGGATGCGCTTTGAATTGATCCGGTTTCCCTTTTTTCCTGTTCCAGGGCTCGGGTCTCCCAGGTCATCCGCAGGGTTATTAAGTCTAGCCAGCCGGCGGTCTATCCTTGTGCCCATGACGTTTGGAAGTTTGCTGCTTTAGCTGCTGTCTTTGGCAAGATGTCTTTGGCTGAAGTTCAGGCACAGG